ATGCACTCATTTGCAAACTAATTTGGTTTTTCGAGAGACTCACCTGGAACCCAGCTGAACCTCTCGTTTGTGATTGGTGCCTGGAAACATCACAAACGAGAGGTTCAGCGGGGTTCCAGGTGAATCTCTCGAAAAACCAAATTGGTTTGCACATGAAATGGATTATAATTTATCTCGCCTTCACGTCCAGAATTCAGAAACAAACAGTTTACCTAACGAGATGTATGTTTTTGCTATAAAAAGCGAGGACCAACTGAAATCATCCGTTGAAAGACACTTAAGTGACGAATGCAAGAAGGAACGTTGGACCTCACCGAAAATCAACAGTAAATGCATGTCCAATTATATCTCGGCGATCGATTCACAGAAAAGTGTTCTTGCTCATAAGTAAATTTCGGAAGAAGAGCAGGAAGCACAAGGATCCCTAGAAAAGCTGACCAAGGTCATCCAGTCCCTCAAAGTGAAAAGTCATGCTCCAGGAGGTACAGTCTTTAAACATGCCTCCAAGAAAAAAATCGTCCAGCTGTAACACCCTTCCAGTGCCTAGCTGCCATGCTCCCCGAAGGAAGCATGAGGACTGGAATACTGGCAGGTTGCCCAAGCCTAAACGGGGGAATTCGGGAGGCGGAGGTCGGATTGGAACCACGGACCTTCCGGTCAGTAAATTCGCGCTCTAACCACTTGGGTCATCTCGCACCCCCCGCTGTCTTTGCCACAATTACGACATATAAACGAAACCAGAACTGTAGAATGTTACTCACTGAAAGTTCCACTATTTAATCTTTCCAGTAGCTTGGTATCAAGTAGTCTCAGTTCCTATACCTCCCAACCCTGTTTGTATTTACCCGGTCCCCTATGAAATTACACACAGGTCATTCAGTGGTGATAATAAATTGTCTTTGGAAGACCCTACAGAGATAGAGACGTATTTCCGCCCGTTCGCTTGAATTAACTGCTTGACTGATGCTCATCTGTGAGTGTGTCGTTCCAGACAACGAAGGACCGCGAAAGTCCCGACTTCGGAGCATGTGAACGCATTATCTTTGTCATCATCACCATCATCGTCGTTGACAGCAAAACACCAGTGATACATACCGGCGCCTAACTGCTCGAAAGCATACCCAGCCGACGGTACAGCGCAGAGCATTAGGCACTTCCACGTCGTACCGCCCTAATACACATTAGCTCTCACCCATACCTCGGTCACGTGTCCGGTCTAGCGTGAAAGCGGCGTTAATCAACCCCACCCCGAAACAATTTTTAAAACACTCCCCTTAATGAACTTATGGGCAGTGAATCCACTTGCTGATAAGTCAGCCGTTATTCTAACGTCGATAAGCCAGCGGTCTCGACATATAGCTTTGTGGCATAATAAATTAAGAAGACGCTACTTCGTTATGATAAACTTCGATCGACTGAATTCATTGACCATACTGACCAAGTTCCTTGGCGAAAATCAAACTTCATCACTGGCTCAGTAGATAATTTTTGAGCTTGCCAATGCAAATGAATAGAGTTTGAGACCCTTTGGCCCATTTCTTCAAAATATGTAAATTTGGAGTTTCGAACAGGTTGTCGGCAACAGGCGTAGAATAGTAAGCATTTATGGGCAACGGATGCGGTGACGGTGATTTATACCCGTCAAACGGGAACTTTATTCTGAGCAAAGGAGTTTGTTCTGGTTCAGTTCCTGAGTGGTCAAACAACTTGAATCACTCGTTTTTGTGGGCATAATTAAGTTGCTTTGCTTTTTTTGAAACCGTTTCACAGAAGGTTACTAATGTTGCTTGTCGCAGTCGATGACCTGCAGCTTGAACTTGCTGTCTGGGGATCTTGAGAGATTGCGTCATACGGTCCTTTGCTATGCACGTCAATCGATACCGGTCGACACCAGTGTCGCCTTAATTGCAGTTTCACTTTTTGACGGTTCGCAAGGCAGACTGATCACTACTACTCAGCGACCTATTTTGAAAACAAGCCTCCCCGGTCATCCAGACCAAGCGCATTGGATGGCTACCCAGTTGGTATTTAAAAAAGAATAGCATTTATTCTTGATTTTGTCTGAGATATGATGGCTCTCAAACCTTGACTTCCTCCGAGCTGTGGTGGTCAGTCTGAGTACAGGGTTTGGTTTGCATCTAAAGCAGCGGGTTCTTCTCGCTTTGTAGCCGCTTGCTAACAGAGCCCTTTTGAGCAACTGGTGTTCATTCATAACTTGATCTATTCCACAACTCTAGCCCTGTTAAATAACGTTCTGGCTGAAACCTACTGGATTAGGCTGCTGCAATAAGGATATTGAACACTCCATTGAGCCTCGAAACAAACGCTACGTTTTAAAGTTCCATCGGAATGATGAGCCATTAATTTCTTGAAGAGGACCGGTCAGATGACCTTCAGAAACAGGCCCCTGATTGGATGTGGTTGTGCTCCAATAGGATGGGAGCGTCTGGATTCGGCCAGGATATCAAGCCGTCTTACTATTTAGAGGGATTCTTGCTTTCCAGCGAATGTTTCTTGAGGTTATCCATTCTAAATTTCTCCTAGTCATAGAAGATGCTAGCCGATTTTGATCATTCGTTCACCGTCGCCGGGTCGTAGGGAGACCAGATCATACAGGGATCGTACGATGTCAGAAGCGTTCGCATATCAGACAACAGTTTTGGCGAAGACCCATGGATAGTAGTTGGTCTGGAATGCCCACCAGTTCCACTTGAAAATAACTTGTCTTTTCGGACTACGTTAGGAGGTGAGGTTCTGAACTTGGTCTTCAGGTTCCTCAAACTGAACTTGATTCGATTTGGAGTTACCCTGGACTATTTATGTATGTTTACTATTTTGCATCTGTGAATGGGGAAATTGAATTTAATGGACTATCTGATAGTTCTGATTGAATAAACGTTTCCTTACATGGGATATTCTTATTGCGTGGCTACAAACCGAATTCAACCGTTCGGAGAGAAATATAGTGAGGAAGCTCACAGGAAGAGTAGACGT